CCCCCCCCCCCCCCCCCCCCCCCCCCCCCCCCTCCAGGGTCGAAAGTCCACCATTTTGCTATATATCATGCTTTAATATACCTCCAAACATATTCTTTTGATTTTGTTAATATTCGAGAAGAAAAACAATACAAAATTAATTATTGAATAAATAATTGGCATTAATTGATAAAAATTAATTATTAATAACAAATACTTAATCAGTTTTATGCAATTTATACATAGGATCATAATCAGCAGGAAAAAATATCAAGGGCTATGGGAGAGGGGGGGGGGTCTGGACCCGAGCCCCCCTCCTTGTGTAAGCCACTGTAGGGTGAGAGTGGATTAATAGTAGGAATTGAAAAATAGTTTAAAATTAAGAATTTGTAGTGTTTCTGCCAAATGTATTGAAAGTGTGCTTATCCTATTTATGAGATATTCATGTTTTGTATGAATTAAAATTATTCAATAAAGCCATTAACATAACGCCGAAATCAATCCAAGATATTCTGCAAATGACTAATCCAACACAATGAATGGAATGTCAGAATTTTTTCACTAGTACTATTTTTCTATGCATGAGAAAAATAAAATTTTGAATGAAATAAGGTTCTAACGGATTAATTTTAAATTGACAGAAACATGAGGTTGATGTGAAAGACAAAGACAGAGTTGTTAATTAACCCGGAAGCATCATTTGACATTAAATCAACGCCTCCGCATACCCCGTGGTAACGTAGAGGGTTTTAAGATAATTTCTTACCCACACAATGGACATCAATTGAAGTGTCTTGGTTGTGGAAAATCAAGTTCTATTTTAAGGACTTTAGCAGTATATTATTGACTTGGAAGAACTTCAGATACATAAGAGAAGAACACACACTTAAGTTGTTAGGAAATTTATTTTAACACTAGATTGTCCAAGTAAGTCATTTTCACTGCTTTTTAATTTCAATTAGAAAAACAATTATGTATATAATGACACAATTTCTTAGAGTTTTTTAGAATATATATTTTTTTCCACGTGAAGTAAATTTTTTTTTATTGTTAATATTTACTAATAACTTGTTATATGACTGCAAATATCATAAAAATATTAAAAATTATTTTAAAACAAATTTCTTTACACGTTAATTATTCTTTCATAATGTAGACATTTAGACTGCTTTTAGGCAATATATACTGTTTCAGTCTTTTTAGTGGTAAAAACCAAATTTTAAATATTTAAAAAATTTGGGTTCTGGACATTTTTGAATTAGCTAGTTTTTGAGAAAACCAAATGAAATAATTATACGGATTTGTCCTTTAAATACCGAGTTAAAATTTATTTAATGTAAACAAACATAACTAAAAAAGACATAAAATGAAAGAAATACCATATAAAATATTAAATGATCTACTCTACATCGGTATTCCTCAACCTTTTTATCGCCGGTCCACTTTTAAAAATGTTACCGCATCCCATTGAAGGTGTGTGTGGGGGGGGAGGACTTTATTTATATTTTAAATTGTTTTAACTTAGTACTTTTAATTTAACAGTATCAGAATATGCCTTCAGAATAAAAAACAGCTACACCGAAAAATGAGTATAAAGAGATTTAACATATAGAAAATAAAGTGATTTCCATGGAAAGTTGCACGAGCCCAAGCTAACTACAACATAGCAAATAGAATAGAAATAACATACAGTTCCTTGTTATGGCTGTTTGGTACCATGTGATTCACGGACTGGTGCCGGTCCGTGGCCCGGGGTGTTGGCGACCACTGATCTAGATTAAGAGTTCAAATAGAATTTCATGATTATCTTTCAAGTTAACTGAATTAATTTTTCTAGAATATTGGTCCATAGAGTTTATTTTTACGTACAAAAGAGTGAGTGAATAATTACATCCCACTATTCAGCTACTCGAGGGCTTTTGGAGACGGACCTCGTAATTTGAACCATGGTCAAGTGACAAGGACGACAGCTGAGCTGGCACCCCCTCTTCTATCTTCCACACTACATCAACGAGAGGACATTTGAGCCTCGACATATTTAACATGCATTGGTCCCCTCTGGTGGGTCTTCAGCGGTGCAAGGTTCGAACTCATGACACACCGGCCACGGGTCTGTTACCTTGACCACTTGCTACCGTGGCCACTGTTAGGTACTAGAGCAATAACTGAAATTAATTAAAATTACTATATTGATACTTTATGAGTATTTCTTCTTTTTTTCAAGTGTTTCGGTAGGAAACAGACAGTAGAAAATATACTGTTTTTATATTATTTCCGGGGTTTTTTTTATCGACTAGATGAATATTAAGTGCTTGTTGTGTGGGTCTATTTGTATTTAGTAGAAACATTTTAGGATTTATGTCTGAAAAATTAGAATGAGTAATGCCTACTAAAGAAGAGATATTTAAAATTATACTTCAGATGTTACAATACTTCACAAAAAAGCAGAAAAGCCAAGAATAGTTACATATTTTCTCATAATACAATCTCAACTTAACGTTGTATGCATTATTATACAGATAAGTTAAATATTCAATAAAATTAGAATGCAGTTTGACAAAAGAATTTGTGATGACTGTAAGAATACGAGTTTCAAATTTTATAATTTAGATACTTGGCGAACAAAATCATTAAATATAGTATTGAATTCAAAGTAAAATTTTTGAATTTTGAAAATTTTAAATGTAAAATGTATTCTAGGAATAATTAATAGTATTGAATAAAAAAATAATTTTAAGTTTATTCTACATACTTAATGAATATTCGAAATATAGATGTTACTCTATCTTTATACATTTGTATATATTTATATATATATTATATATTTCTGAAGTATATTTACACAGTATAT